TACAGATAGAGGCCTTGCGACGAGCTGATCACCCGCCCAAGGAGTCCTACCGAATGTGTAAGATCTAGAAAAACCGAAGTGAACGGAGAAGTTCATGGAGGTAGGCCTAGGCCCACTGGGGCTGTAGTGCCAAGGAGAATAAGAACATATATACGTTACAATCAGAAGATTGTTGATTAGGGCTCAAAACACTTCTGGGACGGCGCCAGAGCTTCTACAGCTTTCTTCAGGGAAAACTGTTTACTATTTGTATAGCTTGTCGGGAGGGGGGGAGGCGGACCTCTTGTGAACACCGGGCTCCATAAAAGGCTCTGCTCCACGGAGTTAAATGTATTAGTCCGTCAGTTATCTGAGTAGACTAGCCTTGATTCTTGGAGTTCTTGGTGAACAACAACAATGAATTTCTGGAACAGAGGTGAAAGCACCACCATCCATAATCCACGTAACTAATTAACCAACCAGCCTCATGCAGCTGAACCGTTCCTGAGAAGCCACCAGTAACTCAGCTACTCAAAAATTTCCCCAAATTTCATGCGTTCAGAAAATGCATTCCCGTGTTCACCCCCCCCCCAACTGGGCCCTGCCCAGAGCCACGCGAATTCACTCTATATCACTCCATACTATATAAGATCCATTTTATATTGTGCCCCCACCGATGCCCAGATCGACCTAGTGGTTTCTTTCCCTCTGGCTTTCCCACCAAAGTCCTATGAATGTTTCTCTTCTCCCTGCAGGCCAAGTGTCTTGTCTTCTCTACAACGTCCAGACCAGATCTGGGGCCCACCCAGCCTTTTATCCTGTGGAAGCTGTGGGCGATATCCCCGGGGGTAAATCGGCCGAGGCTGAAGCCAAGCACTCACCTCCATCTATTGCCGAGATGAATGATGGAGTTATACCTCCACTCCCCCCGTATGCCACAATGGCATAGTGCTTAATTATTTAAGAATAAGGGCAACTTTACCTTACCTTAACTTACCTCTGCGAGCTACATATACAGTCCATCCCATCCTCCTTGACTGGTTATTCTATTTGGCAAAGTATTCAAGTTACGAATACCCTCATTATGCAATTCTCTCCAACCTCCTCTCATTTCATACCTCTTTGGCTCAGATATTCTCCTCAGCAACTTGTTTTCAAATTAAATCAGTACATATTCTTTCCTAAATTTCAGAGAATAATTTTACACCCATACAAAACTATAGGCAAAATTATAGCTTTTTGTATTTTAATTTTTGCGCTTTATACAGCAGAAAAGGCGAAAGAATCTGAATCCAGTGATTACACGCATTCCCCAAATTCAATCTCTTATTAATTCCCTCATTAATCAAATTTTGATTGGTTAATCTAGTTCCAAATATTTCAATTGTACCACATTTTCAAAGGCTCTGCTAGGTATCTTTTTGTTACTATTTTCCCTGCATTCTGGTGGCGAGATATCAACATATACTTCTAGAGCAGCCTACTTGCTAGCGTCAGTTAGAGCTCCTAGGTTTCTCTCTCTAGATTTACGTCATCAGTATAGAGCAGAACCTGATGTGTCCCATTTAATTTCCGGAGTGGGGGGAGTGCTTTCCTAATGGCATATTCTGAAACAGAGTTGAGAAACATTCATGATAAAGCACCTCCATATTTACCACCCATAAATGCTATCAATTTTACGTGTTTCACATATTTTTACAGGTTTGGATTGATGCTGTAACTCAGATATTTTTCTCCTACGGGCTCGGCCTTGGCACGCTTGTAGCTCTGGGAAGCTACAACAAATTTACCAACAACGTGTACAAGTGAGTATCGTGTGAGCTTCAGGCTGTTGACGAGATAAATATAATCTTTAAGCTGTAAAGCACCGTGATAACTATACGTACCACCTGCCATGACATTAAAATACTCTCGGAATAAACAGCAAATTTTCCCTAAAGACATCAACTGATTTGTGCTTGTAATGAAGTCAGTGTATTATAAATAATCTTTAGATTAATTCAGGGTTCGAATTGTGAAGTCGTCAGGTATATCTCGCCAAGAATTGATCTGTTAATTACGAGTATACTATCGTATATTGTACCGGGCTTATTTATACCAGTCATTTTCCACTTTTCTTTTCCTTGGCACTACAGCCCCAGTGGGCCTAGACCTACATCCATGAACTTCTCCGTTCACTTTGGTTTTTCTAGATCTTACACATTCGGTAGGACTCCTTGGGCGGGTGATCAGCTCGTCGCAAGGTCTCCACCTGTACACAGTCACAGAAAAACGCACACACGAACTAAACATCCATGCCCTGAGTTGGATTCGAACCCACGATCCCGGTTTCCAAGCGAGCGAAGACAGTACATGCCTTAGACCGCTCGGCTACCGTGACCGGCCATTTTACACTTGCTGGATCATATTGGAACTAAAAATCTTTCGGACCCGGTTGACAAATTCACAGATTGTGAGCAGTTGCAAAGCGCTTCTCCTGTAATCCAAATTATCTCGGGGGAGAAAGCCGATAAAGAGGTCTGCGACGTTGTTGGCTTTGTATCTTCAGCGTGCAGGCTATCACTAAGCAAAACTTCACTCTCCCACCTTAATAATGATCTGTCTGGTTTAGAGAGTCTAACAGACGCAGAGGTTAAGGAAACTGTGGCAACTGACCCGGGATCCAGCAAGTAAAACAACAGTTAATTGCGTCACCAAAAGCATCAGAAGATTGACGCGTAAAAGGGCACTCGACCGATGGGAAACAAAAGTAGGGAACTGTGAAGTCACATCTCAAATTCTGTGACCTGTTGTGAAATTGCTCATGAAAAGGGATGAACCAAAGACGCCAGTCGCTGTTCATGGCCCTTTAGGGATAACGTATCACCCGGACGAGAAAGCCAACGCAATAGCGGACTGTTTAGGAAACCAGTTCACATCTCATGACTTGTGTCACGAAAACCATGTGCGACAGGTTGAGACCGCAGTCCATGCTTTGCTCACATCTGTAGGCGGAACCGCGTTAGGGGAAGTAGGACTTTGTGACATACATAAATTAACGAATTCATTAATTCATTGTTAAAGGCTTGTGGACTTGATGGCATTCGAAATGAATGCTTTAGGCATCTTCCAAGAAGACCACTGGTACACCTGACATATTTATTTAATCATTACCTTTGGCTGTCCCATTTTCCGAAGCCTTGGAAAGAAGTAAAAGTTATAAAGTTATCGAAACCCAGTAAGGACCCGACATTTCCTCAAAATTTACGCCCAATTAGCCTCTTGTCTTTAACAGGCAAGTTACTCGAAAAAGTTATTCTGAAAATAGTCCAAAGGCACATTGAAGAAAATGGCCTGATTAATTAAGGCCAGCCAGTTTGGTTTCCGTGCCCATCATAGCACGACACTTCAACGTATGAGGCTTGCGGAGCAGGTAACATTAAATTTCAACATTAACATGTCAAATAACAAAATTATGCAGGCAACAAGCAAAAATCATACAAAATCGTGAGAATGCACATGTGCGCAGTATAGGGCAAGGCGAAGCCAGACATAGAAAATACGAGGGGCTTAAACTTGGCGATGGCCATGCTTACGACTGTTCGAGTCACTTAGCTGCCGTTGTAGCATGAGTTGATTAAGATAGGCATGATCTGGTGCATAGTGCAAAAGGAAGAACTTGCTATAGGTGCGATACGTACACCAGACAAGGCCAAGCATATGTATTAGAAATAAAGCCATCCTCTCGTCAGAGAGGATGTTACGTAATAATTACGATCGCAAGGGTTCAGTTGGAAAAGAATCTCTGCTCATGATTGTCAAAGAGCTTGGCTAAAAGACGAACTGATTGGTTGTAAACCTCCAGTCGTAAAATAACTCTGACTCTGTCTCTGAGATAGTAGTGCAGTGTAGTGCAGTGTAGTGCAGTGTAGTGCAGTGGAGCTAGTGCGGTGGAGTGAAATGAGTGACTTAGTTCTGTGAGAGTCGTCGACCATCAAGGAAGTAAACACTGAAGTTGAGGGTGTTACACCCCTGGGGGGGGTGAGAAAATATTACGAATTTAGTCTGTCGCCACCCTTATAGTTAGGCTCTTCGTTGCACTCGGCTGCCACTCGGCACTCGGTCTTGGTTATGATCGCTCGGGATCGGTCGTGGACGGGTTGGTTATGGAAGGGTGAATCAAAACTCCCTGCGTACATCCTATCCTATGTACACTAGTCTATTTACACTGATATTTACATTAAAAGGGCCGCCTTCGGCCAGTTTACATAACACCTTCTCGCTACTCTCTTTCTAATTTCCCTCTCGGGGGGAGATACCGTGAGACTGTTGCTTCCCTTCATTGCTTGTCACTCTCTACACAATTTCTACCCTATTCTACCCTGGCTCTCGCTGGGGTACACTGGAGACTGTACTTTGAGATCACACAACAACACTTTTATCACAATAATGTTTAACAGCATGGCTTACATGAGCAAAGAGAATTACTTGCAATAGAAATGCAGATAAATGTCGCCATCCACCATCTCGTGGCACACATATCGGATAGGGCCTCCGGCTGACAACTCAGTATTATGTTTTTGATCAGATCCCTAAGTCTCCTGAATTCAGTAATTTATATCTTTAACTTGCTGACTCTGCGGTTGACGAAAGAGGGAGGTTAACTCCTCCTTTCGTCCTCAATTTCGGGAAGGGGGGTTTCCATTGGCTACCTTTTGGCTGTGGGTGGGCTCGTGGTCTTCTTTGCTGCTTATTTAATAATATTATCCTTTACTCCAGTGTCCCTCCAACGCGACTTGCAGAAGTGCTTTTGCGTATTCTGCTAAATCAGGCATTCTTACCATAGATTGTCTGTCCAGGTGTTGACATACTAATGTTATTGCTGTAAAACGTTTGTCGCAAGTCTTGAAACATTTAGGCAATGCATTTTGACTTCTAGTCTCAAAATTGCGCCGCAACAGGGGGATCTACGGCGTTGGAAGCCGTTACCTGACAACGACTGGTGAAGACACAGCAGACTGAGAAGACTTAGTACGTGCTGTAGTGAATTGCTTAGTGTGTGTGAATTAGCGATAGCACTATAGTTACTTGTGGTTACGTTCTTTAAGTGTTCAATAAATCCAATTACAAATTCAAACCCCGTCTATAGTCACATTGAATCATGTGACATTATTACGTTCTTCTAAGTGATCATCTGAGAATTTTCCTTCGTATAGATAGGACGGAGCGTCGTTTATTCTAGGTAAAACCATAAGTCGCTGGCAGATATTTCTATTAGGAATAGCTCCGTTTTCGGGGTTGGATTGATCCTTATTCTGTACACGCGTATTAGCTGCCGTATCGTGGAAGTGCTGACAAGTATTTCTCTCATGACCTTAATTGAAGGGGGATTTCTTTCTTTCCTTCTACAGGGAAACCCCTTCCTTGATTTGTTTAACCAAGGGCGAGAATCCCTTGTCCTTCATAGAGGTAAGATGCTAAAGCAGCTGATGCAGGCGCTTTGTATGATGTTTTGGCTTTCATGCAGGCTGCTTACCAAATACAGAAAGTTAAATTAGAACTATTTATGAGATAATTTTTGATGGAGATTTATCGGCTTGTACATGATCAGTTGACAATTGTGACAGTACTTGAAGGGGCAGATGTGGGATTTGAGGCGGATAGCATACGTATACCTGGTAAGCAGGTTGGCCATGACTGTTCACGTCATGTACGTGCACTGCTCTTTGCATTGCCATCATTCTTCCTGCAAGAAAAGCACAATTACAGGAGGCGTAAAGTAAATTCTAGTTGTAAATATTTTTCCCCCCCCTTGGCACTACAGCCCCAGTGGGCCTAGGCCTACCTCCATGAACTTCTCCGTTGACTTCGGTTTTCTAGATCTTAAACATAAGGTAAGACTCCTTGGGTGGGTGATAAGCTCGTCGCAAGGTCTCTCCTGTACACAAACACAGAAAAACGTACACAAACATCCATTCCCTGAGTGGGATTCGAACTCACGATCCCGGCTTCCGAGAGAGCGAAGACAGTGCACGCCTTAGACCGCTCGGCTATGTAAATATTCCACTTGTCGCAAATTCTCCTCTCTGTACTTACAGTTCTGTGATGTCATATGCGCTCAGTTCGCAGTTCACGCTAAAGATCAGAGAATCAGGTTCGTCTGGAGAGGGTTCCACATGAGCAAAAATTGTAGAACCTGTAGTAAACAACTTAATTTGGACTCACCCATATGGATGAGCACCTCTGATGTCATATGCTGGATCTCTTCTCGTCAGTTGCATGTGTACATTCTCTCTAGGGCACGGATTACAGGCCGCAGGGAATGTCCACTAATGTTCGTGCACACAATTACTGGTGTCGGTAAACTTCTTTCTGCGGTGGATGTAGGACAATTTTAGGCAGTCTTTATAAAGTAGGAAAACTTTGTCTGCCTGTCTGTAACTTAGCGATCAGTGCCTAAACCGATGAACAGGTTCTGTTAAAATTTGATAACGGAGTAGCATTCATAATCTTCAAGGATTTTATCCTGTTGTGTTAACTTATATTTCTTTACTGTTTTTCCGTCTGTACACAGTAACAAACTGCCGAATATAGTAACTCTGTGTAAGGACTTTCAGACAAACCGTTTCGCCGATTTTGTTGTATTTTGATATTTCAATATTATGCTTTGAAGTAAGAATGTTGTTCATTTTACCCAATACATTTTGCATTTTGCTGAAATGTTGTTTATAAGATGGCTGCATGTAAACTTAATAAACTGCAATGAACAACGTTGGAAATTTTGTGCACTATATAATGATGTACAGTCTTTCCAATGTTCGAGTAATATCTACAATTTTGTTTCGAACTGTCGTTAGTCTACTTCCGTCTACATTGTAGACGCGATGTGCAGGATCGTTGTGTTTTTGGAACCCTCCGTCTACATGATCCGGAAACGCATTCAGTAAAGAGATATGACAGAAGATATCCCAATTTGTTTGTGAATGAATACTTCTTTATAGTATTGAAAAACCAAGTTATTCTAAGTCCTACGAGCAAGTAGTCTACGCCCACCTTTCCAAAATGGACGCTACATGTTGGTTGACCTTGAGCCTTAGATCCTATCCAACTAACACAAAAACTTTGCACCCATTATCAAAGTATACTGCACTAAATTACTTCCCAGATTTGCCTCAAAGAGTTTTCCATTAAAATAGATGGTGTATAATTTTATCAGCAACGCCATTTGAAGATTTTTCGCCTTATAACAAAACAAACTCCGTGGTTTTAGTCAGCAAGCGAACTCTACCGACCGAGCGACCGCCGCTTTTCGGCGAAATTAGTATAACTATACGAAAAATGACGTAGAATATAGTGAAATAATAGCTTTTAGAAGACTATTAAAGAACTCGCCGTTACGAATAAACATAATTCATTGCTACCTATTCCATTCAGAGTAGCGTAGTAACAAAACATCTGCCTCCAAATTTCGACAGCGACGAAAAACGACATACATCTGCTATATACACAGTACATCAACAAAATGGCCGAGAACGCCTTAGGCAAATACACAACGTTGGAAGTAGCGGTTTCGATATTTTCTGATGAAGTATAAGTCAAGAGATGTCAGTACCTCATATTATGAGACTTACATTGTATTTACACCCTCCCGTCTACTATTAGGGTGTAACTTTGATATAAGAATGGCGAATCCACTAACACATATGCTGTGTCCGGAATAGTGTGCAGAACTCCTTGTCCAGACATGAAGCTGACACTCATGTCTAACTTGTGCAGAAGCTTCTCCCACACATTTACATGGCGTGGTGCGTAGACGGAACAACTTTTTCTTTACCTTACCCTGCCCATTACACTCCAACATTCACATAAACTTAAAGATGTCCCACACTACGAAGACGCATGGGGCAATTAAGGTACAGCTTCATCAGTCTTGACCTTGGCACTAGATTGGGAAAAGTTCCAGAAGAATGATAAAATTTGTATTATACGGAAATATAAATGTATTCATAAAATTTTAAACGAGATGCATAGCGACACATTCACTTCGAGGTAAATTCAATAAGGAGTCTTTCATGTCTATTTTTCATGTAGAGAACAGTACGAGTATTAAGAAGGACTGTGTTTCGGTTACAGAGACGCTTTAATCGTATGCTCCGTGAACTCAAGCACCAGCATATTTGCAGGCTTCGTCATATTTTCTGTGGTGGGCTTCATGGCGCACGAGCAGCAGAAGCCGGTTGCAGAAGTGGCAGCTTCAGGTAAGGCATTTAAAGGATCATACAGTTTTATTAAGATATATGACTGTTCTGTTGGAAAGCTAAGGATGAAATATTAATTCATCTCGGCGAAGGAAAAAAGAAGTCTTATTTATGTAACATTGCAGACGATGTTTCCAAGCACCAAATTGCATGCTGTCCCAAGACTTCTATTTGCATTTCCATTTCAAGCTGCACACTTCTCTTTCAAAAGGTGTAAATTGGGGAATCGAAAATGAGCACTGGTGTCATGTCAACCAGTAATATTTTAGATTTATTAAAACTTAACCCTGCTACGATGATATTACGGTCAAGGTCAGAAGTAGTTCATAATCATGTAGGGATTTCATGTTTCTATCTGCGGTAAAATAATAGTGCAACCAGCATAGCAAACTTTTAACAAATCTCTGCAGGAGTTTCCTGACTCATCTACGCATACGATTTGATACATATTCGTATGGATAAGTGGAATAATTTCCAGACACGTCATAACAAATGTCTAGCGAAAAGTACGAAACTGTAGACACACATATCTGCAAAATGCTTTGAATGGGGGTGAAAGAGGACAGATATAAGAATGGGAGAAGTATTAACAATTTAGAGCCATAGATGGGTATTACCATGTTAGGTGGGTCCCATGTCACCACGGCATGGCGCGTCCTCAGGTTTCAGATGGAGACAAAATTCGTTGACTTGTACCATAACTTAGTCCCAAGGTGTTACAGAGGTCTTGGATGGTCAGTCTACGGCATCGCAGAATCAAATTCCTAACTTTCGTGACATGTTCTGGTGTGGTGTCAGTTGACGGCCGTCCCGAATGATCGTCAGCATCAGTCGATGTTCGATCATTTTTTGAAACCCTTATACCAGTCGTAAGTTTGTATCTGGCCTAAACTGTTGTCACCAAAAGCTTGCTTCAACATTTGTCGCGTTTCTGCAGCGGTTTTCCCAAGTTTAAAACAAAACTTTATACAGACACGCTGCTCTCTCAGGTCAGCCATCGCAAAACCGCAAACTCACGGAAACACAACAATGGAAATACGTTCACCAATAATAAACCCAATCACTCAACTCGACGCCGCTTGTCACACTGATTCAAGAATGGTGTGTGTGGAGACACCTAGCGGTATTTCGATGTACTCATAACCATTCGCGCGCAAAATTCAAATGTCAGGACCTTTTTGATAGTACCACGTATATTCGGTAAGCAGTCGCAGACAGCCGACATGGGGTGGCCCTCCAGGTTTGGGGCTCGCAAATCTTCACTGTGAAAATAAGCTTCTTACGAAATGCCACCTAGGGCATCGGAATGGACAGATTCTTTGGGTTAACTGTCTAAATAAGAAAAATAGACACGAGATTTGGTACGTGGAATGTAAGAAGTCTGCATAGGACAGATGCAAGAGAAATATCAAAATATAAGTCGGATTCAGTGCCAGTATGGGAGAACAGATGGGACGGAGGTGGCACTGAACCGGCAGGCGAATATACATTTTTCTAGGGAAAGGGAGTGAGAATCATGAGTCAGGTACTGGTTCGTTGTACATAAGGCAAGATATCAGCATTTAAGAGTGTAGAGTTTGTTAGTGATAGGATGATGTACATAATACTAAGCGAGGGATGGTGTGATATCACTGTTCTGAATGTTCATGCCACAACAAAGGAAAAAAATTCATGTAATGAAGGACAGCGCCGGTCACGGTAGCTGAGCGGTCTAAGGCATGTACTGTCTTCACTCGCTTGGAAACCGGGATCGTGGGTTCGAATCCCACTCAGGGCATGGATGTTTAGTTTGTGTGTGTGCGATTTTCTGTGTTTGTGTACAGGCAGAAGCCTTGCGACGAGCTGATCACCTGCCCAAGCAGTCCTACCGAATGTGTAAGATCTGGAAAAACCTAGGCCCACTGGGGCTGTAGTGCCAAGGAAAAAACAAAATTGAAGGACAGCATCTACAAGGAATTAGAAAGTGTATTTGATAAATTCCCTAAATACCATAAGAAAATTGTGTTAGGGTATTTAAATGACGAAGTAGGTAGGGAAGATATTTTCAAACTAACAATTTGGAATGACAGTTCACATTAAATTAGAATGATAATCAATTTAGAGTAGTAAATTTCATCATATCAAAAAATCTTACTGTCAAAAGTACAATGTTCCCACATCGTAACATTTCATACATTCACTTGGACATCTCCTCGTGGAAAGACTCAAAATCAAATTCAAATTCTCAAATCAAGAGAAACACAGGATATTTTATTTACGCAAGTAAGGAGATTAGTCTAGATGTAAACTCAAAGAAAACTAACTATATGTTGCTGTTTCGTCACCAGAACGCACGGCAAAGTCATGGCATAAAGATAGGTAATAGATGTTTTGAAAATGTGCCAGTGTACAAATATTTGGGAACGACTGTAACAAATGTAAACCTGATTCATGAGGAACTTAAGAGAAAATTGAACTCCAGTAATGCTTACCACCATTCAGTCCGGGACCTTTTGTCTTCAGGTCTACTGTCTAAAAACGTAAAAATTAGAATATAAAAAACTAACTAATTAAACACTAGGCCATGAAGGCGTATGGGGGAATGAATGTATAGATCTACATTTTCTTGACCTCGGCACTAGCTGGAAGTGAGTGATCAGCTTCACGCCCCTGTCACTTTACTACCGGTACCAATTGCACAGGATGTTGGGTGGACGCAAGAGCCGATCTGGACGACATGGAGAAGTGAAAATTCTTGCCTCAACCGGGACTCGAACTCTGACCCCTTGGTTGTTGAGCCCGTAGACAGTCGCTATATCAGCAATTTACATATGTACACGTAATAAGGTATCATGGAATTCTGCGCCATCTAATCGAATAAATTTAGAGGTTTCGCATAACCCTAAGCATTCTTAATTCTTTATTATGATTGGGTGGTTCTTGCTGTGGTTGGTTACTAGAGCTTGATTGAATCTGGCATCCTGTAGGACTGTCAGGCCTGTTATCCAGTTGCTACTGTTTGTGGCAATGGATGCTGCAGGCACGTCATTCTCCTTGGTGTGATTGCTTATCGACAGTTACGATGCTGACGAAATTTCTGGCCAAAAGCTGATACACTCTACAAGATCTATACCTGACACTTGATACGCTACATAAAACCCTTCGCATCTCCAATCCCTGACTTATACAGGAGCTGCGGGCTTTTACTAGTCAGCAATCTCAACCCTTTGTCAACATTAGTTCTGTTTCACTGCCTGTAATATTGCCTTTGAGTTGACGTAATTGTCATGTCAGTTTTTCGTTTTTTAATTCCTTACCTTAATTTGTTGCATTTCTAGTTCTTATTTCTTAATAAAAGCTAGAATTATTTTAGAAAGTGAGAGAGTCACGCTGATGGTTCATTGCCTGCAGGTCCAGGACTGGCATTCCTGGCATACCCATCAGCCGTTCTGCAGCTACCTGGATCACCAATGTGGTCCTGTCTTTTCTTCCTCATGCTGCTTTGTATTGGACTGGACAGCCAGGTACAGCTCAAGAATATGTTGCACCGAGATAATTTGTGTCAGGAAAGAATGGCCACAACTGATATCCTCCTGGGATAGCCTAGGGTAGCTTTATAGTTGAAAATTAGGTTAGCTGGTACCATGAAGTCTGTCAATGGTATAGCTGCTCCAGCATGACTTCTGGTACTTTATCAAGTAACATGAGAAGTGGAAGAATAACGCATCATAACAGCTGTGGAAAGATGACCATGTTGGATGATACTCTCGAGACAAAACTTAAAAATAGCATATCATTCCAGTACACACAAATTATGAATAATCAGATATAGGCACAGTTTTCATGTCTACTCTATGTGAATTCATATCCAGCATACCCATTCATTCATTTATCAATGGTCCACTGCCCTTTGTTGTGCCCTGGCCGCTTTTTCAGTTTTGTAATCTTATACACCTTCAATACAACACCTTGGATGGGGGATCAGTCCGTCGCAATCCAGTATATCCACTGATCCAATAATTCTACATTCATAACTACTGTCAGGGCTGCAATCTACTGTACATTCTTCAGCCTCTACCTCATGATAGAAAGATGTGTGTTACAACAGGTGAAGGCTACAATTATCATTGACTATTTTTTTAATTTACAGCCATGAGTGAGAGTCAGTAAATAGGACACAAATGGATATAAAACGTAAAACACATAATATTCGAATTTGGGGAAAAGAGTTATCCCTCAAAATATCCTTCACCAACATTGATACACTTGTCCCTTTGCTTTGCCACAACACGGAAGTCTTCTGGTTGTTGTTTCAGCCACTTCCGCGCCTCCTGTTCAACCTCTTTATCTTCAGCAGCGAAACTTTTGTCACCAAGATGGCTTTATAGTGTGCCATACAGATGGATGTCACTAGAGGCCAAATAGGGCTGTAAGGAGGATATTCAAGTAGTTCCCACTGTGGAAGTCTCCTACGAATTGCATCACGAATTTTCAACAGAACTTCACAGTACAATGCAGAATTCACATTTTTATCAAGCTTCTGAGAATGGGGTAACAGCACACCCTGAGAATCCCAAAACACAGTGAGCATGAACTTTCCAGCTAATGGCGCACTCATAACATTAAAATTTTAATTCAAGGTGAACTCGGATAATTCCATTGCATTGAAGCACGCTTTGATTCGGGATGGTGGTGATGCATCCACAATTCGTCCTCAGTAACAATCCTGTTAAACATATCCTGATCCATTCGGTTCATTTTTTTCGATCCTTTAGTTCTTTGCTCACCCACGCCACTGTGCGCACACTTTCCGAAACTTCAAACGAAAATGCATTATGCTCTATGCTAAGCCATGGGAACATACTAGTGGAATTGTTATACTGTCTACCGTTATCCTCATGTAAGCTTGAATCAGCTCTTCCACCCTCTGCACAGTTTCTTCTGTCGCAAACTCAACAGGACGACCTGGTCGGACATCATCTGCATCTTTTGAATGTCTTTGAGAGAATTCTCGACCCAGTTGTGAACCGCTTTACGCGATAAACACTTCCCACCGTGAGCATCCTTTGCATTGAGTCCTTTTGCCCATATAAAAACACAATAGAACGCTGCTCTTTGGTAGAATACTCCTCAAGCATGGTCACCAGATTGACTACTGAAAACAGCCTCTGAACATGTGAATGCGCGTCTTCTGCCTAGACTGTCATGAATGTGGACTGTGCTGCTTCCTAGTGGTACACATAGAAAACCTATTACGTTCATTACAGCTGTTATACTCCTGTGACCTATTTGCTGACTCTCCCTCGTATAATAGAAATACGAAACATTAGTCTAGCCTGTACATCCATACTGCTGGAAGGACTTTCCGAACCTGCCTATAGGTGATACACCAATTTACCATGCCTGCCACCTGTAGGAATAACAAGTAACTCTTCTAACACTTCTTTGCTTGTCTACAGAACATTTCACTTTAAATGTAATATCACTCTTATCCACAGTTCTGCACCATGGAAGGTTTTATCACTGCCATGGTTGATGAATGGCCTCACCTTCTGCGACGACGCAAAGAATTGTTCATAGCTGGAGTGTGCGTCTTATCATACATAGTTGGGCTGTCCTGCATATCACAGGTTTGTAGTTGCAAATTAATTGCAGGAAGACTAGACTTAAAATCTGTTACGCTCGAACAAGGTAATTCATATATTTAATAAAACATTGGGTTACGTTATTTATTTATGAGAACTTGCTTATTAAGGCGTTCAGAGACAGTCGACAAGACTCCTTGGGCGGGAATCAGCCCGTCGCAAGGACACTACCTAACACAGGCATCCATGCTTTGAGTGGGATTCGAAACCATGATCCCAGTGTTCGAGCGAGCGAAGACATTTCATGCAGTATCATAAAACTAAGAATATTCGCCACACATTAATAACAAAAATTTATAGGTAAATACTTGGACTTGATAATACCTGTCATTAGTTTCCACCTGTGTAACCATCACTCTGCCCTCATCTGGCTCCAATGACATGGAAAATAGATTGTTTGAAGGGTCCGAATTCATGGAGATAAATTTACACAATTTACAATCACTCCACACTAATCTTCTCAGTCCATTTCCACTGGTCTTCACTATCCGCTTCCTGGCAACGGATTTGTACACGGAACAGTAGAAGTCTCACTAAATCACACACTCCCAATCACACTGCACTATAGTGCACATGAAGTCTTCAAATCACACTTTAAGTCTTCATAGTTCGACGAAATTTTCGTGGGCGTTTCCTANGGTAAATGGAGGCCAGAGTGCATCCTGAACGGAAGCGTATATCATAAGGCTTAGTGAAACTTCCTGCTGGAGCGCCTCTGAGAGTCGTATGATGGACTGTCTTAGACAGCCACTTATGACGGTGGGGGAGGTATTACAAGAGTTTTAAGAGGAACTTCACGAGGATACCTGAGTTTGTACAGTGGCCTTCTCAGTTGGGAGGTGCTGCCAAATATGTCGCAAACCGAGACCTCCGAACCCTGTGTCGATGCCTGAAATGCCAGTATACCGTCCGTGAACCATTTGAGTGGATCGCTATTGACATCGCAGGGCCCTCATCGGAGAGCCACAGTGGAAATAAGAACCTCCTGATTGCCACGGATAACTTCACCAAGTGTCCAGAATTTTACTCCATCCCTAGTCAGGAAGCATCGACGAGTACTGATGTCCCGGTGAGTCAACTTCTGCCAATGCGGGGCCCCGAGGGAACTGCACAGTGACTAAAGCCGGAACATGGAGTCACGATTCCTACAGTAGGTATTATGGCACGCGCCACCCCTTGTCATGCAGAGTGGATAACTCTGGTCTCAATCTGGGACATCTGAAATATGAAACAGGAATACTAACCATTCAGCCATGGTATTTAGTGAAGATGAGAATATGATTAATTAAGAATATAGTAAGATAATTTCATTATGGTGCTAATTTAATTATGACTTTTCAAACTGAAGGTTCAGAGCAATAGAATTTTACATTAAATTTTGGGGTTCATCAGTTACTGCAAAGATTTGTATAATATTGTCACGTTTTTGGATGACCAAGACACGGGTTTGGATAGATAATTGGATTTACTAACAACCTACAGGTCGTAACTACAAATAATTATTAAACTCTTGATGATTTACACAATTTACAATCACTCCACACTAATCTTCTCAGTCCATTTCCACTGGTCTTCACTATCCGCTTCCTGGCAACGGATTTGTACACGGAACAGTAGAAGTCTCACTAAATCACACACTCCCAATCACACTGCACTATAGTGCACATGAAGTCTTCAAATCACACTTTAAGTCTTCATAGTTCGACAAAATTTTCGTGGGCGTTTCCTACTGAGAACTCAGAACTGAACTGTAGCGCTATTTGTTTTTAAGATAATCCTTCTGCACGGACACCACAGGAAACACAGTCTTCCATTTTTGAAACGTGTTTACTGAATCACTGAATAGCAAAGGTCGCGGCAAGGACTTCATAGAATACAGTCTCTCTACTGTTGAGGTTTGTTTACCGAGCCGTTGTTTAGCAACGCTCTGGTCATCCATGTTACAACATTATGCAAAGATGTTTAAAACCATTATAAAACTGTAAGACAACGGGTGTGAGCAATGTTCCCTCTAAGCTGTGCATGTGTGTGGCCGTGCAGCGGTTGTTTCAGTCTACCACGCACTGCCGGCAACTGTGCAGTGTTTTCTGTTATGCCTGTTATGGATCTTCTACGAAAATAACTCCCCTCCACCTCAAAGGTTGTCCAAGCCAATACAATTGCTGCTCACAAGACACCATGGCAAGCATACTAGCGTCCACAGCTTAGAGGGAACGTAGCAATTTAATTCCAATTCATCAGCTCAAACTGGAGCATTGTATGTCTGATGATGACCCAGTGTAAGGGTCAAAACATATTGCATCTGTAAAAACACAATAAAGGCAAATGTTGATAGAGTAATGTCTTCTTTATTTTAAATACAGTATACTGTTGTGTAGACGGCATACCTTATACACTTTAGTATATCTTAAAAATGCATAGGTTTAAAAGCAGGGTTTCAAGACAAAATGATTCAGTGTTCTGAGTGCCTCTTTATGTTATTTTGTTTTAGGGTGGAATGTATGTTTTCCAAATCCTTGATTCATATGCTGTCAGTGGCTTCTGTCTCCTGTTCCTGATCTTCTTTGAATGTATTGCTATTTCATGGGCATTTGGAGTAAATCGATTTTATGATGGCATCAAAGACATGATTGGCTACTACCCATTCATGTTCTGGAAGCTCTGTTGGACCATCACTACACCACTCATATGTGTGGTAAGTTAACTTGAAAGGAACTCACAATTCAAATATTTCGTTTCTCTGTGGTTAATCAAAGACAGTGAAGGAAACTGTTACAGAAATTTTACAGTATTCCTCTAGTATATAACTGGAGACATATATGGCCCAAGGAATCGTGTTTTCAGACTTAAGAATCTTATTTATAGATATATGGTAGAACTCGCTGGATAGATGATAGGCCTGCCACAACACCACTAATATACAAACTATCAGAAATGGGGGGGGGGACAGTTATTGTGTCATAAAATAATATAGAAACCAACAAACTAAAATGATCTGATTTCAATTGATCCAACCTCATTAAACTTATAAGTAATAATCCACAAATCAGCCAACTACAATGATATGAACTCATTTGATATTGCATAAGACCTTCAGCTGATTTAGCCTCATTAAACATTTTTATCATCTCTCTAAATTTACAAATTTTCATTTTAGGGAGTGTTTTTCTTCAACATTGTGCAGTGGACTCCAATAAAGTACCTAGACTATGAGTACCCGTGGTGGAGCCATGTTCTGGGTTGGCTTACAGCACTTTCTTCCATGCTGTGCATTCCAGGTTACATGGTCTACATTTGGATGAAAACCCCAGGAGACACAAGAACAGTAAGTTTTAGAAGACTCTGTGCAAGTTTTCTACGTCCTATGATTATTGTATAGTAAATATTTGTACATTATGATTACCAAACTGCGTTCTTTTGTGAAAGCCTGGATGTATGTGACAGAATCCCAGGAGTGTTCCACATTTCTTTTGAATCACCAGTCTAGAAGCAGTTTTCTAAAGTGATGTTTCTCAGCCCCCAGCGGAGGAATCATTTGTCACAGACAAGTGCAGTAATAGAAAACATACTTTTGTTACATGACATGCCAGCAACTGTTCCATTGTGTTTTTGAAAGAACACTGGTTACAGGGGAACTGGGATATTGCAGTCAGTATAGTGACAGCCTATGAGCTGGATGGCCACTTTCACTTTCACTTTATTTTAAATTCCATAGGTTCTTTTCAGGTCACGCATGCCATAGTATATAGAACATGTCAACATACATAAACACATACATAAAAACAATGAACCCATCAACATGCAATACAGTCACAATACAAAGGGGTCACATTTTGAGTCCTGATAGGGGTGGGATTTTCCTCCTCTCCACATTGTCCAGACTAGTTGTGGGGTTCACCCAGCCTCCTATCCAGTGGGTATTTTCCTGAGGGTAACTGGCCAGGACATGAAGCTGACCACACACTTCCTACTAGTGCTGAGGTCAAGAATATATGGATATACATCCACTCTCCATATGTCTTCATGGCCTCATGCTCAATTAGGTACACACAGGAACAACTTCACCCTTTTTACACTGGACACAACATCATTCTAACTTCTAATTTATTAAACTGGAGTAACTTCAAACTTGTGCCATGCAGAAGAGGAAATGTTTTAGCATATTAGCCAACCAGCAGTTTTCAGTGTATTGTCATGAAAATATCAATGGAAATAGATTTCATAAAAACCATTTTCCCCTTCCCATAAGTTGTGCACTATGAAGGAATGCCCTTCTCCTTTGCTTTTACAGAATTGCAGGTTATAATTTTGGTGCCAGTTTCTGGTGCTATTCTGTAAAGTGAAAGAGGTTTGGGGAATACTCAAATACATAAAATTTTCTAATTACAAAAAATGATAAAGAAAAATATAAAAACTGATAATAGTCCAGCATATACTAAAATTATTTACACTTTATTTTTCTTGGTTATGACACCAAGCAATATGGCACCTGGTTACTTCTACCTATCAAACCCCATGGTGTAAAAGACAAAAGCCTATTATTTAATTTCTCACTGCAGTGAAAACTTTAATGTAGCACTTAGGTTTCCACAACCACTGGGTACAATATTTCAGTTGGCTAACAGGGCAGAATATAAAATACAGCTTTGTGTTATATCATAAAATTTCTCTGTATGTTATCAGAATTTTGTGGCTTGTTGAAAATCATCAAAACAGAAGAGCAGGAAATGGTTCCACGTTTAAATTCTAAAATCTCATATTTTGGGTTTCAAAATACATATTTTTTAGAATGGGTACTGATGAATCTTAAAAGGGTACATGAAATGCTAAAATATTATTCCCGAAGTGATTACTGAAGCATGAAACCAATTCTAGCATGTTTAAACATATAAAGGTTCATAGCAAAATTTTGTTATTAATATTAAAATGTTAGGAAGTGATTGCTGCAGCATAAAACTAATTAAATATACTCATACAAATTTCCCACAAAATTTTGTTATTAACTTTATCTTAAATTTCTGGCAGTCTTCCCCTTCCTGCAAACCTGAAAACACAGAATATGTAAATAAACATTCGCTTTGTCTTCCTACACTTTACAGAGAGTCAAACTTCTTGTACGGATAGAAGATGATGTGGCAAGTCTTCGAGGAAAGATGACAGGAACACCTTCAGAGATAACATCTCTGTAACTTATTAGTTCCATGCCAACTAGTTTAACTCCTGTCTCCTTCAAGTGAGCAACCAATTGCCGATCTCCAGACTTTGAAAAGAGATGAAAAAATGTGCTTGCCTTTGAAGAAATGTATGAATAACGTACTTCTAACTGTCCTTGATACTAACAGTGAAGTAAAAATTAGGAGACGGACATCTGCAACTCAAACTTGAAGTAGTTTCAGAATACTTACACAAGATACTCGCCATGTTTTGGAGGGGGGATTACTGTATTCATATAAGGAACATGCAATCAATGGTGTATTTCCTTGAAAATATAATGGCCACTAAGAGACGGAAAAGTTGTTTCATACCAGAAGCAATTTTCAATAGTGAAATATCTGAAGTCAAGAATCCAACAGCAATTCCATGCCACCAGCATTAGTAGACTATAGTACAATCATCACTTTCTGTGTACAAACTCAATGTGACACAACCCTATCATATGTGTGTGATGCATTCAGATTATTTTTGCTAATAAATGTAAGGATTTCTGATGCAACTAATTTATTTGTCAAAAAGACAGATCATTATTAGTATGTGATATAAATAGATGGGCCATTTTATTTCATTTTAATTCTTGATGTTAACAAGCATGCTTTCAAGTAACACATGTACACATGCAGCTAGCAGAATGTATCATGATTTCATACAGCTCTAGTTTTTTGTGAGAACACAGTTTATCATTATGCAAATATGTTGTCACAAACTCTATATACAGCTGTAACTTTGTTTTCAATAAAAACACTTTTTACTTATAATAGACCGTTATTGAATTAATGGAACTTCTGTGTCCCTACACTATGTTCGCGGTTATTATGATCCCACAATCGCAACCAAAGCAACCACAACCATCATTTAATTTTCGTTTTCCGAGGCCATGTCACTCACCCAGTCATAAGAATGTAACTCAGAGCACAGTAATAAATACTTTAGAATGTTACATCTTTGAAGTGGATATTGTAGAAGTAGAAATGCAACTAACATACAATGTGTATATAAATATGTTACAACGCTCTCTGGTGGATAGATGGATTCAATGTGGTCATATTTTGTTAATACACCCATGTCTGGAAATGCTATGTTTACGCGCTTGGGCCTCTGAAATGTGAAGGAGGACCTTTACCAAGGACGGAATTGTCAACTTCAGAAACTGCCATGTATGGGCTCAAGAAAATCCTAAAGCGAAGCATATCCAAAGCCCTCAACACCACTTCACCGTCAATGTGTGGGTAGGGATTATCAATGCCCTTACCTCTTACTTCTGTGGCTTACTGGTGACATTTAACTAACATTTCTGTGGTAGCGTAATTGGTTGAGGAGCTATGCTACAAGCCGGAAGGTCACGGTATCAAGCCCCGATGTGGACACTGGATTTTTTTTCAATTGACCTAATCCTTCCAGCCACAATATGGCCCTGGGGTTGACTCAGCCTCTAACATAAACGAGTACCAGGAATTAATTAATTTTCCTGGGGAGTAAAGCGCGGCCAGTGCGTAAGGCTGACAACCTTACCGCCACCTTTGAGACGATTGTCAAGATAATGTGGGACCCTCAACGTCTCACAATCCTATGGGCTTCACTATTACTTACTTTTACTCTCTCTGAGAGACCTTACCCAAGCTGCTGGAAGTGCTGTTTTTGGAAGACAATTGTGAAATGTGGTTCCAGCATGATGGCGCCCCTGTACACTGCACTAATGTCGTCTGTATTTCGATGAAACTTTTGCCAACAGATGGATTTTACGTGGAGGTCCAATAACCTGGCCCTCTCGCTCCCCTGACTTGACCCCACTGGATTTCTTTCTCTGGAGGTACATGCAAAAGCCTGGTGTACGAGACTCCAGTGGAGACACATCATGATCTTGTGGCAAGAATTGCAGGAGCTTTCTTTTTCGCTCTGAATAGTTTATTCAACTGGCACTTAGTACACTTTCTCGCCTACTCCTTAATTTCTTCCTTCATATTTGGACCATAGTCATGCTGTCTGATCGCCCCGAGAATCAAATCGTGGTTTTCATGCAATATTTTGCCTTTCATTGCCTCATCTATTTCTTCCAAGTCACTCCCTTCCGTGTTAAGAGCACCTATTCTAGATAAACCATCTGCTTGTGAATTTTGTGATCCAGGTTTACCGTATTTACGCATGTATAGGCCGCATGCGTGTATAGGCCGCAGCACAATTTTCAGACAGAAATTATAGAAAAAATAATTTTCTTGGAATATTATTTCAGGAGTAGAAATTATTCCGAAATTTGGCAACGTTAATTTTTTTAAAATTAAGTGTGATTTCGAATATAAGCTGCACCCCAGTTTTCCTCTTGAATTTTTGGCAAAAAAATGTGTGGCCTATACATGCGTAAATACGGTATATAGTCGTATAGTCATTTATATAGTCATATTCGAGTTGGAGTCGCCACGTAAGCAGTCTCGAACCCAGGTCTTTCACGCTCATGATCCAGGTTAGGGGTTTGTGATCACTCACAACCTTGAACTTCCTACCATACAAATATGGCCTGAAATACTCAGTTCCCCAGACAATGGCTGCTAATTCCTTCTCTGCAGTACTTAATGAGTTTTGAACCTTGGGCTTTCTTTAAATTAGCTTTTACCTTCCTTGAGGTTACAGGTTGCAATAAAGGAATTTACATATACGTGATATGTCTGTGCACTCTGCAAGACACTAATGATACAGGCAACAAGAAGCACAAGAGGGTTTGTTCCACTTGCTTCTTTCTTGTTTCTTGCTTGGATTATTCTTGAACCCTGAAGATGGAGGCAGTGCATTCCTCTAAAACGTCAGTGGACTTCTACTAGACTACAAGGCATTACATCCAAGATTTAGAGATTTTGCATGTTATAAGCATTTTAAGACCATATGAAGTTGAGAAGAAATTCCTTTCTTGTGTTTGTATGCATGATAACTCTTGAAATAAACGAAATGTGAATTTAATGGATATAACTGCTTTTAAATTAACAGAATTTATTCGCTTTCATGTAAATAACCAGATATTACACAGGAATACCACTCCCACTGAAACCAAATTGCTAGCTGATGTGAAAGTCAGTCTCTTTCCCCAGCAGAAAAACAAAATTATAACTAGGCCTCTTGGGCTCCACTAGGATTTTTCTCCAGGGACAGGCAATCAGAAAATTGGATCTGAGGCAGTACTTTCCTTTGAAACATCAGTGAACTTCTACTGGGCTACAAGGCATCCAAACCCATGATAGTACTGTTCTCAGCCAAAAATTTGCTTACAGATTTACATGTGAGCCATTTAAGAACATGTTGTGTGTTTGCTAGGTAATGCAACATGAAATTGTGCATATTCTCAGATTTAAACAAATATTTTATTGGACAGTCACTTTTACACTTGCAAGTACAATTATCCTCAACTTATGTCATCAGATGTTTCTTCTTAACTATTACAATTACTTGCACTGCTTACCTTGGTGAAGTGTCTTCTGCTCAGAGCTCAATTGTCCTTGGTCCTGTCATATGAGACCCTCCTGTTCTAGTCGAATAAAAACTGAACTAGCCTCTTTGTCACAGTTGGACTGTTCCATCTTGCACTTGGACTGAATGGGGAATACCTTATTGAAGGGTTAGTTTCTGCCGCTGCTACGCAATGAACACGGGAATACGTGTCTACCTCAAACAATTCATTTGTAACAGTGGAAACCCCACTAGACTTTCATTTCCGGGGCAACGATTTCCTAGGGTTTGCTGCCTAGGAATTGCTAGCCGTTGACTAGTGATGGACATGTTATAGTCCGGCTTTCAGACAGCATGTCACAGTATATATGGATCATTCTTTGTATACAAAAGAGAATAATACATTTTAAAAGCAGTCTTAAATGTTTATTACTAATATCCGATACATCAACTATATACTGATATTCATGTGAAAAGTAAACAAGCTCACTCATCACACTGGCTGCAGATTGGCTGATATTTTTATTTACACACTAATAACTATGTAACTTGCATGGCAAAATCTTTATACAGAATGGAGCAAGGAAAAGGGTAATTTTAAAAACTCAGTAATTAAATAAAGAATTTGCATTTGGTAAATTACAAATTTGCCATGTTAAAGTATATAACATGCCATTTATTTCCTGAAGAAGATATCTTCGAAATGACATCCATCTCTGTGCAGGTATTCCTCTAATCTTCCACACATGTTTCCCATAATGCAGCACAGCATCTCCAAAGGAATTCCGGCAATTTTTTCACATATTTTTAGTTTCAGCACTTCAATATTGTGTGGGCAATGGGTGTACACTTTGCAGTTTAAGTGCCTGTATAAAAAAGTCGCATGCTGTCAGGTGTGGAGACCTAGGAGGCCAAGGACTGTCACCATTCCTGGAGATGACGTGGTTATGAAGTAGTCTTCCACTGACGTCTTGCCATCTTGTTGAAATAAACTGGCCTCACTGACTTGAGGAAACCTAGTAGCTAGTTCATCAGTCAAGAAAGTTGCAATCATGTTGGCATAGTGAACTCACGTCACAGTTTTACCCTTCCATTATCACCTTCAGACAGTGGTTCTCAAAATTTTTACCTCTGAGCCCCCTTGAGAAGAGAAAATACTCTCAGGTCCCCAGTATGTTTTTTTTTATCAAAATAGAAGTCATGGTATGTTTGACGTTTCATTCAGTTTATTTTGTGTTTTTCTACATACTATTTAGCAGTTTTCTTACTCAAAATTAAAGTATCACAATACTAGGCCTACAATAAAAATTAGTTTTAACACTTGCAATTAACCAAAATATGTATTGAAATGAAACGATATTTAACTAACAAGTATTCAATTTTTTTCTGCAAAGAAAATCAAACATTTAAATGTCAAAGTTTAGTGTGATGGATGGGTCTGCTTTTGAGAACAAAGTTTATCAAAACGTGGTGTAATATCAGA